CGTTCGGGCATGAAAGACCGAAGGACCCGAAACAGAGCGTGTCCGCTTCAAATGCACGAAGTGGCGTATCTGTGTCACAGTAAGAGTATGAAAAATGGAAAAGTCAAAAGGAAAGGACTTCTGTTAACTAAGACACAACTAAAGGGAAAAACCTGTGAGAGGAAAATACGTAAATTTAACCACAGAAAGGTCTTAACTTGACGGGAACTGTGGAATACAGACCATTCTCTGGGGATCTGAGCTGTTGGAAACGGTAGCCAACGTGACTTAACTTAATGACATAACTGTTGTTTATTAAAAATATAATCTAGCCCGGCTGGCGGGGCTACGTGGTTGGTTGAGCGTCAACCTGTGAACCAGGAGGTCAGGGTTCGAATCCCAGTCAGGGCACAGGCCCAGGTTGTGGGCTCGATCCCCAGTGTGGGGCGTGCAGGAGGCAGCCAATCCATGATTCTCTCTCATCATTGATATTTTCATCTCTCTCTCCTTCTCCCTTCCTCTCTGAAATCAATCAAACACACACATATATATATGTGTGTGTGTGTGTATACATACATATACCATATATATAATATGTTCTTACGCTGAACCCCATTATCACTTCGCTGCTCCTCGAGTCACGGGATCTCCATCCACCACCAAACAAGGTGTCCATGCCTCGCCCAGGCTTTATCACGGGCTTTGGGTAAGAGATGTGTTTAAGCCACAGGCGCTGCTCCAGGCACCTGGTGGAATATATGTGCATATGCAGGAAGCGTGCCCTGCTTTCTCTATGTCTGAGACGGCTCCCGCACACGCATCCCCTTTTCTGCCTTCAGCCACACTCTGCACATGGCTCTGCGACCAAGACACTCGGGACACATGCATGTGCTGAGCTGCATCTGAGTGAGGAGTCAGTGAGCAGCACTCTGAACCCACAGCCGCCAGGGCCTCCTGGTGGGCACGCACTTCCTGCCCACGACTGGCTCTGAACCAGGTGGCGAGTTCTGACCACACAGGTCACACGCTGAGGCTTGAGATATGCCTGTGCTGTGGGCGTGTCACCCGTGCTTCAGGCACAGCCAGTGCAGAGACCACGCCCAGACGGCCCATTCACCTCAGAGGATGGGACAGAAGCAGACCTGTGCCCAGCCAAGCCCAGACCAGACCGACCAACCACATCAGCACACGGGCATGGACCGGAATAAGCATGATTTTAAGCCATGGAGTTTGGGGAGGCTTGTTCACAGCACTATAGTAAAAGATGGCTAATCCCACTTTTTAGAATGAAGAAATACCAAAAAACAGCTAAATATCTAATCAATCAAAATGTTTTACAAATTTTGATCTATGTAGAGTGTGTTGTTAGGGAAAAAATATAGTTATCACCATCATCACCATCACCACCATCATTATTTATCCTCACCATCACCATCATCACCATCATCACATCACCGCCACCATCATCACCATCAACATGATCATCACTGTCCCCGTCACCATCACCATCATCACAATCACATCATCATCACCGTCCCCATCACCATCACCATCACCATCATCACATCACCATCATCACCATCACGTCATCATCACCGTCCCCATCACCATCACCATCATCACCGTCCCCATCACCATCACCACCATCACCATCACCA